TTATTTTATAATAAAACACTAATTATAATGGCATACATGTAAAATTTTGTCCTATAATTGTATAGCTGCTTTTTATGTTGCTCTGTTCTGAATACCTTAATTTAAAGGATTTGCTGCAACGCAATTGTATGATATGTTAATTAATATTTTTTATCCATGCAGCAAATGCTTTAAAAACCGCTTTATTGCATTCCAGACGCTTTTAAAGTACTTTTTACGGGTAGCTTGAATGTAAACCTTGTCATGAATTTGTTGTATTCCCGTGTGTAAAACAGCCAACAAATTAATTGTTGTAGGCTAACCCGATCTCATGAAAGTGCGTATAGCACGATTTTCTGCTTCTATTTGGCATAATATTTCTATGCAGAAATTGACTTTGGCATGCAAAAGACTGATAAATTCATAATTAACGGCATGGGTTCAGTCGACAGAAATACGGGACACAAAGGCCTATAATAACTGCTGAAATGTTTGCGGGCAAATCTCAGGTCAGTCTGAGCGCTCATGATACTCACAGTACAGCCGTACACCTGCAGGCGCCACAGACTTGGACGGCTTTCGTGGAAATAAACACCGTAAACGGCAACCGTTCACGTGTCCGTGCATATCCTATATGAAAAGCATTTTAGGGGGCCCAAGGCAGTCGCCTACCTTTGCCTAATGGGTAAGTCCGCCCCCGATACGCAGTATGAAAGACTCCCCCAAAGACGCTCTAATCTCAAGACACCAGTGACGGTACACAAAACTGAAATCTTGCATGATGCAGCTCAAGACAAAATGCCTTCTAAAGATGACCCAGCAAAATATTGTCCCATCCACAATAAACCCCACCCTTTAAGGAAATGTAGAGGCTTCAGACTGAAGACAGTCGAAAGAGCAAGGGATCTGCTTCAGGTGCTGCTCATCACCACATTTTGCTCATGATTGCAAAGCTACTCTAAAGTGTGAGGAGTGCAACAGCGACATTCAATTCAGCTCTGCATCCCGGTCCACCCTCATGGATGCACAAAATTCAAAGTTCTTCATTACAGCATGGCGTGGAGGAGGAGGAAGAAATTCCAAACACTCAAGAGTGGAGCTCTCTTTGCACTGAAGTGTGTCTAGGGTTGGGTATTTACGATACCATATCGATACTTAAAAAAAAGCCACAAGAAAAAAATCATTAAAAATAAATATACATAGCATTCACATGCTCCTTGGATGCTCGCATTTCTAGAGTGGTGCTTCGCTTCCTTTAAGGCTAATAAATGCATTTCATGATCTGGGTCATTATTCAATACAAAACCACGCATAATGTTTCTACTGTATCGCTGTCAATCACGCTGATATTTAGTTAATTAGTCTTTCATATGAAATTTAAAGGGGACTGACTCTCAGGCGATCACGAATGTGTGTTCAGTTTACGGAGCTAATCGCTATAGCCCTGCTAAAAAAGGCCTAGCGACGCCCATGCTTCTTACATCCATTTCGGAGAACCAGGACAAATATTTCAATCGATCGCTCCGGCATTTAAGTGGCACCGAAATCTGCATTCTGATTCGGTTCTAGTACATACCGATTACATGGGTACTGGTGCCATATTGAGGCAGAAAATGGAGGAATTAGTCTCACACTTCCAACATTAATTGAATGTGATGAAATACCCAACAACCGTGATGCTGCTCTCCATCAACCTCACCTCAAGCATATTGCGCCTGAAATTCCCTGGAAGGACCCTGAAGCCCACACCCTCCTGCTGCTTGGGTGAGACATACTCCGAGGTCATAAGGTGAGAAAACGGATTAATGGCCCACACAACACACCTTTTGGCCAAAACCTAGACCTAGGATGGGTTCTGGTTGGTGAAGTATGCCTAGGAGATGTGCACAAGCCCATTGTTTCCAGCTTGAAGACAAATATATTAGAAAAATGTTTATTCCTTGCACAAGTCATGTACATGTCAAAGAAAAGGTCAACAGCAACTTAACTCTGTACAGCTCATGACTTTGAAACCCACTGGAACATAAGCAAGGACAACCTAGGCAACCTAAACTCTATTTAAAAGAACAGAGAACGACAGTAAGCCTGCACTCTCCATCGAGGATGAAGTCTTTCTAAAGACTATGGACAGAAGTTTTCCAGGATGATTCCAACAGTTGGGTGGCACCTCTTCCTTTTAGGTCTCCAAAGCCAGTTCTTCCAAACAACAGAGATCAAGCTTTAAAGGGCCAGTTCTCCCAAAAATGAAATTAGTCCACGAATTACTCACCCTCGAGGCATCCTAGGTGCATGACTTTCTTCTTTCAGACGAATCCAATCGGAGTTATTAAAAATTGTCTTTGATCTTCCAAGCCGTTTAAAATGGCAGTCAGTGGGTGTTGCAGTGAATCAGTCCAAAATAAGTTAAATAAAGCGCATCCATTCATAAATAAAGTGTCTCACATGGCTCCGGGGGGTGAACAAAGGCCTCCTGTAGCGAATCAATGTGTTTTTGCAAGAAAAATATGCATAGTCAACTTAATTCAACCAGCATTCGAAACATCGAATAATTTTACTTAGCAATTGGTTCAATGCTTCGAAAAGCTTAGTTTCTCCCATCACTACTTCTAGGTCCATCCACGCATCAAAGCTTGTGGAGTCTATCTGGCTTACAGGTCACGTGAAGTTGACTTCATGATGACATAAGGCAATTTTGCACTTGTGGATCCAGATTCAGATGTGGAAATCAAGCCAACTGTGACAGCTTGCACCACAGGAACGAAGAACTCACCTCTGACAGGCTCCAGAGATTCTCCTCTTGGAAATCCTTACAAAGAGCTCATACATGTAGCTCACTGTTTTAGATCCACCAATGGATCCAGCACATGCAGCGGATAGCATTTGGGTTCACAACCACACAGTGTGAGCTGTTAAAAGCCAAGAACGTGATAATCCGCTCTGTGCAAAGGGAACCATTCAACAAGGTCATTGAAACGCTCTCTAAGGGAGGAAACATAAGTAACAAATTTCCACTCGCAAAACTGAATCCTTTCTTAGATGAGGATGGCCTACTCCAAGTCAGTGGAAGATTAGAGAGCGTGTGGGCTATTCTTATAGTCCTACTAATACGAGGCAGCTGTGAACTGGTAATGGGTGCTGATGAGTCCGGGCAAAGGATTATGGGAAATGGAGTCCTGAGGGAATGGCAAGGTACAGGATGGAGTGCCCTCTAGAGAAGCTCAAGGACACTCCAGCTGGTGATCGTGACGTTCACAAATTTGACACTTTTTTTGGTGTTAATATTTTTTAGTGTTATAATTAGTTAGTTAAAGTCACAAAGAAAATTAAGTAATTTGGGTAATGTTGAAGAAAATTTACATTTGTGAATATACAGTAATATTTCCCAATAAAATAAATACATTTCCTATGTATTCTATGTTATGTTTACAATGAGAAAAATAACAGAATATATCACACATCGTTAAATCAATGTCTAAATTGGATTTTGAAGCAAGGAATTTTGACACGTCAGACCAAAATCCCTTAACAAGGGGGCATTTGAAAAAAGATGATCACTAGACTCAATACTGAAAATACAGAAATTACAATTCAAATGAGGATGACCACATTTTGATGTAATCTCGTTAGTGGGGTATACATTATGCAAAGATTTTAAATGTAATTCTTTGTTGGGGACACAAAATTTATAGGGTATGAGCTGTGCTTTTTTCCAATTAATCTTATCTATTTAAAAAAAATCCCCTCAGAGTAATTATTTTCCTTGACTGAAACACATTTCTTATAATTTTATTACTACATTCAATTAAAGGATGCACAAGCGTGCACAACTCGAACAGCTTTTTGTTTCTTTGAGCGTAATATGGATTCAATATGATGCTTCACTTCATTTTTAAATGCTTTAAAACATGGATTTTTTTTCCTGAAAATGTACATTTATGAATATGAAATTGGGCCATTAAAATAAGTGTGGGTCTGTTTATCTCTAGAGTTCTCAATAATGCCTAAACGAACATCTTTCCACTGTAAAGTCTCATTTTCGTCAACACTGTCTGCAATAAAATCAAGTACATTTTGCCAAAAAAAGACACATAAGGGCAGTGCCAAAATAAATGAACAGCTGTCTCTGGCTTCTGCTTGCAAAGAAAAAAAGAGAAGAAGAAGAACAGTTGAAGTAATCAACACGTCGCATCCATCCAGTGAATATTTACGACTAAGATTTGGATTTGACTTTAATAAATGTATATTTTGTGATATATTAAACCACAGAGCATCTGTTTTTCCACTGCATGTGGATGCTTTATGGTCTGATATTCATGACTGGGTACTTTCACTGGGAAGGACATTATCTTTGGACTTGTAATGAACAATAACAAAGATGACTTCCTTGTTAATAATGTACTTCCGATGGGGAAATCTTATATACACAAGTATATACAAGTACTTGAGTGTGAAACCAGCGTTTTGTGTATTTTATCATGAGTTCCCAGATAGCACACGTGCGTCTGCAAGATGTCTGTTAACGATCTCTTGATCTGGAAAGCATCTGCTGTGGACAAACATCTAACAGACGTCTTTCAGATGTCAGTTTTACATGCATTCTAAATCCCAAACATCTTAAAGACATCTAATCTATTTGACATCTGACAGGAAACGTCCTCTAGAGGTACTGCAGATGAGCAAGCACTCTTGCAGATGCAATGCAGACGTCTCCGAGATGTATGTGTGCTATCAGGGTTATTTCTTTCACAAAAGCCCTCAAAGTGATGAAAAAGAAAAATGCAATAACGCTTTTGTCCTTTACAGAAGAATATTTACAGGAAAAACCATAGCCCCCTTTTATGTGTAAAGTTGTATTATTATTATACATATATTATGTATAAATATGCAGGGGCATATTTCTTCATGCACCTGTTCTAATGTGAAAAATGAACTGATATTGCCACGTTGTTTGTACATGGCTGCTTAATAAAGAAAAAAATAAATACAAATAATCAACACGCCGCGCTCGCTCCGCGTCACTTCCGCCCGCTGGGCCGCACGGTGTGTCGTCACGTCCGGTGGTCTCGAGCTCGGAGAAGATGGCGGCTGTAGTAGTGAGCGCTGATGGAGGCGTCGCGCCGCTGGACTCGAACCCCGCGTCGCCGCGGACCCCGTCTCCAGCGCCGGAGCAGCCGCTGCAGAACAACGCGCTGCTGGGGCTCCCGATCGTGGCCATCGAGAACATCCTCGGCTTCCTGTCGTACGACGAGATCAGCCTGCTGCGGCTGGTGAGGGATTAGCTCATCCTCGACTCTAGCTTCCGAGTGCAGCACTGCAGAGCTTTTACACTAGCTAGCGTTACTGCGGGGAGTACAGCACTGCATCGTCTCGAAGTGATGCTAATTGTTGCTGTTGCTCTGCTGCATCTGACCGAGGTTCATGTGTCTGTTTCACAGCCAGCTGCTTTCTTAATTAGGCTCTTTTGAGCGCAAGCAGGTCGAGTTTTTCATGAGCTAAGCATAAAAGGTTACGGTCCGTCTCACAAGTCGCTAAACTATGTAACTTAACTCACAATTATGACTTTTTTTCTTGTAATTCTGAGGAAAACAATCCCAAATTGGGGGATATAAACTCACTAGTAGTGCTGGGCGGTGTGACCAAAAATGTATATCACGGTATTTTTCTAAATTATACCGGTTTCACGGTACATGACGGTATTATTTTTCATGCATGAGCGGGTGTTAACCATATTTTCTACTGATTGAGAGGAAATACTGCAGTATATTGACTCTATTTTACTGTCATGATGAGTGAATATTGTCACTAAATAGTGACTAAACACGACCGCTTTTAATACATGTTAACCAGGAGTCACTCTCATTTATAATCACAGCATCGTCTGATAAAATCAGCATGCATCTACACTAAAGAGCGGCTATGTGTTGTTCTGGCTAGATTACTCTTTTGTCTTGTGCAGCGCACTGCCTGCGTCTGAGTAACAAACTAAAAACAACAAAGTGCATGTGATATTAACAGACGAACTACGCTCATATTTATAATTCCTAACAATCAGTAAGCGGCAGCTGCTAGGAAACGCTGTGTTATACTCATTTATTGAGGACTCGGCTGCGGTGCTTCTCTGCCGCTCACTGCACAGAACACACGCCGAGAGAGGCGACACTTCTCCGGGAAAGCCAGACCTCGCGCTTGCGGGACAGCACTGGAGAAATCCTCCAACTGAACCATAGCTAAGCTTTCTCCAGAGAAGTCTCTAAAAGGGTCTGAAAGTTGCTAAATCTAGTGCTAAAGTCGCTCGTGTGTGTGAGATGCGGGAGCTGATGGCAGCGGGCGCTGGATATTTGTGGAGGTCAGTGTGGATATTGTGGATGAGTTCTTCTGTGTCATCACGTTCTATTAGTTCTACAGCTTCAGTTTCTGAACTTTCACGCTTAGTAACACATACAGCTGTTCCCTCACCACAGTGCAACAGTGAAAAGGGACCCCTCTCAAACAGTGTCGCGCCTTTACATTTACCTTTTTTGTTTTTATTCTGTGGCAAAGACAAACAACAAAATTGCAATTACAGTGTAGCTCTCACACTGCAGATCTGGGCCCGTGTTTATCAAGCCTCTGAGAGTTACTCACAAGAACACTGCTAGGAGTGGCCTTAAGAGTAAAAAAGTATCAAGCATCTCAGTCGTAATGGAAGCGAAGTAAGCGTAAGACTAAATCTGAAGTGTCCGTCTTAGAGAGGGTTCACTGCTGTGCCACAAACAGGATTTTGGATGACGACAGGCATGGACCAATCACTGAATAGATTTCCTTATTTAAGAATATTCTCCGATAAATTCACTTCGAACGCTGACGTTCCTATAAGAGGAGTTTACGTTCAGCACACATCTGACAATAAAGAATTTAAGAGAACACATGATATTCACATTGGAAATGAAAGATAAACTCGTTTTCCACCATGTCGTAATCACAGATTGTAAACCGGTGTGCTGATTTTGCTCTGTGTTGCAGGTGTGTAAGCGCATGGATGTGATTTGCCAGCGCATGCTCAATCAAGGCTTCCTGAAAGTGGAGCGCTATCACAACCTGTGCCAGAAACAGGTCAAAGCCCAGCTGCCCAGGTGAGTTATTTACCTGCTTAAGTCCTCTGAAGAGCTACACAGCTGGCAGCTTGACACTCCCGGTTAAAAAAAAAGGTTCAAAAGTTGCCACTGGAGTGGTATCATTTCAAAAGCTACACTTTTGTACCTTTTTTTACCTCTTAAAGGGATAGTTCACCCAAAAATGAAAATTAGCCCGTGTTTTACACACCCTCAAAGCATCCTAGGTGTGTATGACTTTCTTCTTTCAGACGAATCCAGTCGGCGTTATATTAAAAATAGGGATGTTACAATGAGACGATTCAAACTGGTTGAGATTCCAAACAAATCGCGATATAATTGGACAGAAAAAAAACATGTTTGAGTTATTTCACAATAAACTAATTGAAATTGTAGCCTACGTAGTGTGTGCAATTACGTTTATTTAAATTGAACGTTAAAGATAATATTGATCATGCTCTATTCTGTAATGTTAATGTAAATCATACGCTGTGAGAATACAAAGGCTGTATTTTATGCATGCAACAGCCTGTCACTGCAGTCCCTTATAATAATCAACCATGGCTTTACTAAAGTGACCGTAGTTCAACTATTTGTAGATTTCCGTGGTTCCCACTACAGTACACATATTTCAACCATGTGTAAACAAAAATATAACCTAAGTTATAATTGAGTACTGAATGTTAAAATGCATTTAAAAAATAAAGTTAAGTGGGTATCATTACCCATTTTTCTATTTAATAAATTTAATAATTTAAAAGTATCGTATCGGTATCGACGATATCTATTATATATTATAACTGCTCATGCAGCATCTTTGTTTGGATCGTGATTAAAATGCAGTGGTTTCCTCTCATTTTAAATGGAAAGCACAGACAAAGCCTTAGTTTGTTTATATGAAGAGATTTATTTTATTTGTGTCACTTGCTTATTTGATTTGGGGTTTGTTTTAAAATGTCAATTTAGTTTTGTTATATTTCACTTTCTCAAAGAAACGTGCTTCAATAGCCTAATAAAACCACACCTTTTCATTTACTGTGTAATGTCTTCAATCTCATTTCGTTAAAATAAAATCGTGAGAAAATCGAATCGTGAAATCAAAATCGATTGAGTGACTCGTTACATCGCTAATTAAAAGATGATCCTGGCTCTTCCAAGCATTAGAATGGGAGTAGGTGGGTGTTTCTGTTCAACAGTCCAAAAGTAGTCAAATAAATCCATAATAAAACGTGCCTCAGAGAGAGAACAAAACAAAGCGCCGCTCACGAATTAGAAACCGAGGATTTGTGAAGAAGAGATAAGTCTTCTGATAAGATAAGATCACTTCTGTTATCAGCCGTTAATGAAGGGAGTATCATTAGCATGAAATAACAATCCGGGTCTGGTTTGGTTAGTGCTTAAAGTACCAAGTGTTCCCAGTCACTCTTTCATCTAAGTATTTATATTTGATGTTTTTTAATCATCATAAGAGAATTGGCACCCCAGTCTCCATTTTAAGATCTGTACATTTAATTGAGGGGTTCAGATCTTGGAATGCTAATGTAGAAGCAAAATGTGTCAAAAAGTCTCGTCAGTACCAATAACTAATGAACATTATGATTCCCAGTGATGTGCCACACAATCAGTAGACGCTAAAGCAAACCTCCAGTGTTGTGCTGTCATCTTGAGATGGTCAGAAGAACACAGGCTTGGTTTTCAATCCTGTCCTTGGGTGACGTCAACCAGACAGTCAAGTTTTTTTTTTGTTTTTTGTGAGGCATTGGGTTGCACCCTTAGAGGCTTAGTTCACATTACAGTGAACAATCTGAAGAGCAGTGAAGGATCATCTGTTTATGTCAGCTGTAATAACTTTAGTAACCTAAAAGTAATCCAAGATAAAGATGATTGTAGTCTTGCAGGGTGTGTCATAGTTTAAAAAAAAATATTTCTTGAGGAAATGCAAAAGCTCAGAAATATTTTTGAGATCACTGTGTATTTGTTACATAATTTTTACCCAGAGGATAGTATTTGCACATATAATGCATATTTAGTTATGCACTAAATTGATGGGTTTTCGCTGCAAACACAAAAATGCCACAAACAGCATCACTAATTTAAAAAAAAAAAAAAAGCTCAGATGATCAGGAAAAACGTCATGCAATATCCTACCATCAGCTGAACTGATCCAGTCAATACGAAAGGCCATTTTCATAAGTCTTCTGATAAGATAAGATCACTTCTGTTATCAGCCGTTAATGAAGGGAGTATCATTAGCATGAAATAACAATCCGGGTCTGGTTTGGTTAGTGCTTAAAGTACCAAGTGTTCCCAGTCACTCTTTCATCTAAGTATTTATATTTGATGTTTTTTAATCATCATAAGAGAATTGGCACCCCAGTCTCCATTTTAAGATCTGTACATTTAATTGAGGGGTTCAGATCTTGGAATGCTAATGTAGAAGCAAAATGTGTCAAAAAGTCTCGTCAGTACCAATAACTAATGAACATTATGATTCCCAGTGATGTGCCACACAATCAGTAGACGCTAAAGCAAACCTCCAGTGTTGTGCTGTCATCTTGAGATGGTCAGAAGAACACAGGCTTGGTTTTCAATCCTGTCCTTGGGTGACGTCAACCAGACAGTCAAGTTTTTTTTTGTTTTTTGTGAGGCATTGGGTTGCACCCTTAGAGGCTTAGTTCACATTACAGTGAACAATCTGAAGAGCAGTGAAGGATCATCTGTTTATGTCAGCTGTAATAACTTTAGTAACCTAAAAGTAATCCAAGATAAAGATGATTGTAGTCTTGCAGGGTGTGTCATAGTTTAAAAAAAATTATTTCTTGAGGAAATGCAAAAGCTCAGAAGGGATTATGCAAACATGAATATAAAGCATTGCATGGCATCAAGGCCTGCAGCAGTGAATGCAAATCACGAGTATTTGTCATTCGTGTGACAGAAGAACAATGATGGGATGTGTTGCCATCAGGTTTAGATTTGAAACCAAAACCCTTAAAAAGCAGCTCCTTCTGTTGGTGATGTTTAAGCAATATAATTTATAAATGTTTATCTTACCGTACTTGCATTTGCAATCACAAAATAACTTATCTGACAAAATAATCAATTTTCTGTCAAATTGTGCAGCCCTACAAAAAAACACAGCAAAACGGTTTTTAAAATTTATTTTAAAAGTTACAAAACATTCTCATGATTAAGTCATTATAATTAATTTTGTAATACATTTCAGCACTAATTTGCATTGTTTTCCTGCATGTTACTGATTGCATTTTAATAGTCACAATTTTTTTATCTGAAAAATCACAGTATTTTCTTAACCCAAGTCATTCAGTCCTACGGAAACGCATGAAGATATTCAATTTGAAATACATAGACATTAACTGTATTAACTTTCAGCAAAATGTGTAGCAGTTCCAGCACTAGGCCATGTTCACCACACCCTGAATGCTGTTTAAGATCACGGCTATATTCACACGACAGTCCATCACTGTGTTCGCTTGGCTTCGGAGTGAATGATTGTATAATTTGAGAGAGAGTTAAGTGCAAGTGTCACAACCAAATTTTACATGCAAATTGGCATTCGTGCTTAATAAGGAAGAACTAGTTAAATTTAACAAATGAAAGGCAAGTCCGCTCTAGTCGTGACATTGGAGGGTCATTCACAGCGCAACACTCTTGTGTGTTTCTGGTAAATTACCAATGGTTATTTTTCCAGAAAGGCTCTTAATTAATCGGAAACCAAAACCCTTAAAAAGCAGCTCCTTCTGTTGGTGATGTTTAAGCAATATAATTTATAAATGTTTATCTTAACGTACTTGCATTTGCAATCACAAAATAACTTATCTGACAAAATAATCAATTTTCTGTCAAATTGTGCAGCCCTACAAAAAAACACAGCAAAACGGTTTTTAAAATTTATTTTAAAAGTTACAAAACATTCTCATGACTAAGTCATTATAATTAATTTTGTAATACATTTCAGCACTAATTTGCATTGTTTTCCTGCATGTTACTGATTGCATTTTAATAGTCACAATTTTTTTATCTGAAAAATCACAGTATTTTCTTAACCCAAGTCATTCAGTCCTACGGAAACGCATGAAGATATTCAATTTGAAATACATAGACATTAACTGTCTTTCAGCAAAATGTGTAGCAGTTCCAGCACTAGGCCATGTTCACCACACCCTGAATGCTGTGTAAGATCACGGCTATATTCACACGACAGTCCATCACTGTGTTCGCTTGGCTTCGGAGTGAATGATTGTATAATTTGAGAGAGAGTTAAGTGCAAGTGTCACAACCAAATTTTACATGCAAATTGGCATTCGTGCTTAATAAGGAAGAACTAGTTCAATTTAACAAATGAAAGGCAAGTCCGCTCTAGTCGTGACATTGGAGGGTCATTCACAGCGCAACACTCTTGTGTGTTTCTGGTAAATTACCAATGGTTATTTTTCCAGAAAGGCTCTTAATTAATCGGCCTGTTATAAGAAACAGAATTAGTTGGAAAGTGCTGTTACAGAAGCCCAGTCGACAGCACCTTGCTTGTCATGCTATTGACACGTGCATGATGCATAATCATGCATTTTAGATCACTGTTATTTAAACTGCAAAGATCTATTTTTATAATCGATATTTTTGTCTTGCTGGGAGAGCACAGTGAGTGCATCGATTTAGACCATTATTATATTAAATAAGGGTGTTGTCTTTACCTTGAGTGGTGAGATATATGTAATAAAAACGCAATGTACGAATCTGTATATGTTCTGTTTTGTCATTTATTTTGCAAACAAAAAGTCATACAACTTTTAAAATCCCAGTGAAAGGCCCAAGTGGTTTGACAGTGTTGTTGTGTGCCTCCCGCAGGTGATCGATGAGATTTATCGTGTTTTGCGGTATGTGAACTCCACACGCACGCCGCAGAGAGCTCACGAGGTGCTGCAGGAGCTGCGAGACATTTCCTCCATGGCCATGGAGTACTTCGACGAGAAGATCGTCCCCATCCTGAAGAAAAGGCTTCCCGGTGCGGACCTCTCCGGACGACTGATCGGATCTGCCCCGGGTACGACTCATTTCATCTGTGTGGTTCATTTTTATTTTCTGTTGATACATTTCTCGTGTTCCTTCTGATACTAGTTCCCAGCATTTTGTTTGTGTAGTTAAAGGGGTCATGAACTGCCTTTTTTATTATTTGGTACTGTTCTCTGAGGCCCACATATAATGCTATTAAGATTTTTGCAACAAAAAACATACACAAGTGATAAGCTATTTTTTGTCCTGCTTTGACCCCCTCATCAGAACACTCTGAGATTTTTGTCTTGCTGGGAGAGCACAGTGAGTGCATCGATTTAGACCATTATTATATTAAATAAGGGTGTTGTCTTTACCTTGAGTGGTGAGATATATGTAATAAAAACGCAATGTACGAATCTGTATATGTTCTGTTTTGTCATTTATTTTGCAAACAAAAAGTCATACAACTTTTAAAATCCCAGTGAAAGGCCCAAGTGGTTTGACAGTGTTGTTGTGTGCCTCCCGCAGGTGATCGATGAGATTTATCGTGTTTTGCGGTATGTGAACTCCACACGCACGCCGCAGAGAGCTCACGAGGTGCTGCAGGAGCTGCGAGACATTTCCTCCATGGCCATGGAGTACTTCGACGAGAAGATCGTCCCCATCCTGAAGAAAAGGCTTCCTGGTGCGGACCTCTCCGGACGACTGATCGGATCTGCCCCGGGTACGACTCATTTCATCTGTGTGGTTCATTTTTATTTTCTGTTGATACATTTCTCGTGTTCCTTCTGATACTAGTTCCCAGCATTTTGTTTGTGTAGTTAAAGGGGTCATGAACTGCCTTTTTTATTATTTGATACTGTTCTCTGAGGCCCACATATAGTGCTATTAAGATTTTTGCAACAAAAAACATACAAGTGATAAGCTATTTTTTGTCCTGCTTTGACCCCCTCATCAGAACACTCTGAATAGGCGTGGAGGATTGTAGACTCGGAAGTAAACACCCACTGCTATGATTGGCTAATAGTCGCACAGCATCGTCTTTTAGTTTCAATCTTTCTGAAAATCCCACGTCAAATTGTGCCTTGTTTGTAAACGAATCTACGGTAAAATGAAGTGAACAAAGAACCAAGTTTTTCCACAACTTGGTGCACTAAATTGAATCTTTGAAAAAAACACTGAATCTTCTTGTCTTCAGAGCATCTTTATCGTTTGGTTTCTGCATAGACCTGCACGATTGCCTCTCGTAAACACTACATGTGTGAATCGGTGGGCGGGGATAAACAGGCAGCGATGGAGAAGGCTAAAGGGGCTGTGCTGTAGAATCGGTGGGCGGGGCTAAACAGGCAGCGATGTGGAAGCAGGCGTTGATCTTCTGCGGAGGCGGTGCTTATCCACTCTATTACATCATAGAGTAGAACATTCCACAAGCTGTTGTTTTGGCAGATTGCCTTCAATATGAGCTGTTTTTAGACTAACGACAAAGTTTTGAGTTCTGAAATATACAGGATGCTTCTATAGTACAATGACCTCTTAAATGTCAAATGATCAAGGGAAGTTAGGTTTCTCAGTTCATGACCCCTTTAAGAGGAATGATCAAAGGATTAACAGAGCATGAAGTTGACGTCTTTCCTCTGGATGAAAGTATTTTTTGAGGAAATAAAGTGCAGTGGTTTCGAATCTCACAGCTCTGTCTCGTCCCTCTGTCTCCACAGTGGCCGGTCCCTCTACCTCTCTGACCACCATGTCCCTGCTGGCCAAAAACACTCCGTCTCGCTCGGAGATGACGAAGGTGCAGCAGCAGGTGAAGGTGAATGGCGTGTCGATGACGGCGCTGCGGCGAGAGATGCAGGAGGTGCGGGTCAAGCAGCTGGAGCAGCAGAAGCAGCTGCAGGATCAGGAGCAGAAGCTGCTGGAGCAGTCGCAGGTGATCGGAGAGCAGAACGCCCGGCTGGCCGAGCTGGAGCACAAGCTCAGAGAACTGATGGACAGCGCGGTGGCCTCCAGCTCCTCCACAGCCGCCGAGGGCGAGAGCAGCCTGTGTCTCAAACGGCCCCGCAAGTGCTCGGACCTCCCGCGTCACTCCAAACGCCTGCGTAGCAAGAAATAGAGGGACGCTTCTCTGTACCTTTTAAGTTTTCTTTTGCTTCCTTAAAGCTATATAATTTCTTCCACTTACGTCAAATGATGACGCGAGTATCATGCGGAGGGAAATCATAACGAGAGGGGAATCTTATTGTTTTATCATTTGTCGGCACGTCCCTCATATCAGACACGTATTAATATACACTAACATGCTTGAGCCCCGTCGCTTGACTTCTGTTTCTAAAGGTTTGGCATCTGCCTTGAGCTACGTTTGTCTTTCATGTTTACCCGACCTTCATGCCAATGAGCTCGAGGAAACGATGCAGAGAAGCTTTAGTCAATCAACTGCAAGAACGAGGAAAACGTGGACACAGAAATGGCGGTTCACAGCTTCTTTGGCGCTCCGCAGTAGTTTCGACCATAAGTTTGTTCAACTGTGTACGAAGTTTTCAAGTTAAGACTTAGTCCCCCTTCTTGAAATGGAGAACACGAGGTGTTCGTATAAATTATATAAATGGTAAATATCAGCTTTGTTCTATGTTCTAAGAGTGAAATACTTCATCAGAGATGTGTGCCTCGACAGTATGAGGAAGTCATTGGTCTTGCAGACGTCTGCAGCTGTAGCAAACATGATTATATTGTTTGTCTAAAGATCGTCCATCACTGAGGATAGTGTCTTGTAGGTGTCAATGCCATGTCGTACCTGCCACTGTTTGTAGATGTATAATTTACTGCAAATAGATCTGTGTCAGTGCAATAAAAATTGTGGAAAGCCTTGTTACTAGGAAAGTAAATCATTGATGTTCAAGTTGGTTTTTGCCCGTGAGGCACATTTTTAGTCATTTGACACTGATGTTATTGTCATTCTGGATGCACAGTTATGTAGGAAAGGTTGCATTAGCTTCTGAAGCGCAATATCACCTTTCCTTCATAACCACAGTTCTTCAGAGTCCGGATGATAATTCTGTGCTGCATGAACTCTAATGGTGAACAGACTTTGAGCAAGTAACAAGTGAGGGGCAGAATTACTTGTGACGGGTTTAATGTTTTTTTTTTTTTTCTGCACACCATCGTTTGGTTCAAGAGTCGCCACCAGTCCATTACAAACATGCTGACTTGAGGCCCTGCTCCTTTAATCTGTAATGTTAAAGTGACCTTTTGGACTTTCGAAAAATACACATCAGCTTTAATGACGCTATGTACTATCACCTTTCCTTCATAACCACAGTTCTTCAGAGTCCGGATGATAATTCTGTGCTGCATGAACTCTAATGGTGAACAGACTTTGAGCAAGTAACAAGTGAGGGGCAGAATTACTTGTGACGGGTTTAATGTTTTTTTTTTTTTTCTGCACACCATCGTTTGGTTCAAGAGTCGCCACCAGTCCATTTCAAACATGCTGACTTGAGGCCCTGCTCCTTTAATCTGTAATGTTAAAGTGACCTTTTGGACTTTCGAAAAATACACATCAGCTTTAATGACGCTATGTACCATATTTGTGACCCTGCAGCACAAAAGCAGTGTTAAGTCGCTGGGGTATATTTGTAGCAATAGCCAACAATACATTGTATGGGTCAAAATGATCCATTTCTCTTTTATGAAAAATTATCAATTTTTTTCCAAAAATCATTAGGATATTAAGTAAAGATCATGTTCCATGAAGATATTTTGTAAATGTCCTACCGTAAATATATCAAAACTTAATGTTTGATTAGTAATATGCATTGCTAAGAACTTCATTTGGACAACTTTAAAGATGATTTTCTCAATATTTAGATTTTTTTGCGCCCTCAGATTCCAGATTTTCAAATATTGTCCTATCCTAACAAACCATACATCAATGGAAAGATTATTCATTCAGCTTTCTGATGTATAAATCTCAATTTCAAAAAATTGACCCTATGACTGGTTTTGTGGCCCTGGGTTACGTCTTCCAAAGTATAACGTTTGGCAAGGTGCCCTTCTGCATGGGACTGCAAGAGAACCATTTTGCCTGATGGCGCAAAAGAGTATATTGTGTCTCGAGGAGGAAATAAACCCATCCATCATAACAGTCTCCTAAATCACCATAACTAAATTTTTCTCCTTTTTTGTCCTTTAGTTTTTTACTACATTAACTGATACTGTTCCATGCAAATCATGTTTGAAACTACATATCCGCCATCCAGTTTCTCACACTTCCAAGAACACCAACCAAAAATATTTTAAAACGTTGTTGTGAGATAAAAGACATCTCCGCGGATGAGTAGCTGAGCATCTCTTCAGCAAGCCGACACGCAAACTGGCAAATTAAACAATGTAAGACGCAGACACTCGACACAATGACCTTCATTAAAAGTAGTGAGACTAACCTATCTTTCCAGTGCTGATGCCGCGCTCTCTCCTGTTTCGGTCTTTGATCTTGAAATGAGCTGCTGATGAGTAAAATAGCATAAAATGCAGCGCATATCTGTTGCTTTCATTGACATGAACTCAACTAAATGAATTGAAGACCGGATTTATATCCGTTTTGCGACGACACATTTATGTGGCCAAGTGTAAATGGAAATGATTTAACAAATCCGAAAGATATCCGATCAGAGAAAATGCATGAACTGACCAGGTGTAAACAGGCCCTAAATTACACACTTTTACATATTTGGATTGCATCCATTGCTGCAATGGTGGAGGTTAGTCATAAAAAAAACAAATGTACACAAATTGAGTGGAATAAAGTTTTTATCTGATAAGAAAAAATGTGCATAAACTACGATGGAAACACATGTCATGTGACTTTGCGCGATGGGACGGAATAACTTGACTAGTCAGCAGATCGATCTCGTTGCACAGCATCTGAAAGGTTTTGGTCGTTCTGAGCAAAGCTTGTCGTCGACGTATTTCTGTACACAACTGTGTTCCCAAACAGCAGCATCCGCCTCCGAAAGCAATGACAGCATTTACTGTTTCGTCTGCTCGCTCTGAGGTGCAAGTCATTTATCATACATGAAAATTATTATATTCTGTGACTGACTCCTAGTTTTCTTAGTGATATTTAGTGCCAGCTTATCTGGAAGTGACGATTTTGTTCTCTTTGACTTGTTGGATGGAAACGGTGCTTTATTCGCAAATGTTTTATACCATATTCCAGTTTTGCTATAAGTTAAATTCGCATCTTTGGATGGAAACACAGCTAGTGTCGTTGAGGTCCACCAGCACCAAAGAATAGCACCCACTGTAATGATAGAGCACAGCCCCGTCACTCGAGCAATCAGGAGGAGTTCATTCTGTGCCCCTTCCACTCCTCGAGTCTTTCTCTTCTGAAAACATCATGCAACAACTGCCTGAAAGGAGATTTCAAATGCATATGTTTTCAGTTTGGGAGAATGAAGCCTGGTTTTGTGTCGCTGTCATGTGCTCCTGAGACGGGATATTTGAGTGAATCAAATGGTCAAGTCAAACAGGTTTCCCTTGATATTGTGGCACAGACCATAAAATTAATCCAAAAAATCAGGGTTTTACTGGAGTAACATAAAATGGTATTATTATGGAAATTTAAACCAAATAGGGAACGTTTGTGGCTGACAGGTGTTTGTCAAAGGTTACTGGCTATTTAAAAATAAAGGTGCTTCACGATGCCATAGAAGAAACTTTTTGTCTAAATGGTTCCATAAAGAACATCTGAAGAAACTTTCTGTTTCACAAAAGCTTCTTTGTGGCGAAAGAAGGTTCTTCAGATTACAAAAAGGTAAGAAAGAGATGGTTCTTTAAAGAACCTTTGGCTGAATGCTTCTTTGTGGAACCAAAAAACGTTCTTCTATGGCATCGCTGTGAAGAACCTTTTAAGCACCTTTATTTTTAAGAATGTATACTGCCCCAATTTCATGTTTCAATCAGAAATAGGTCAACACATCAAAGAAAACTGATCATCAAGCTGCTTCAATATTCCCACCAGCATCCCTATCTCTTCCAATGTCACACCTTGTGTTTTAGCGCTGGAGCAAGACCTACATCAGGCTTCAGCAGAGCGAGATTGCGAAAAGGTGACGAGACAGTGAGAAGAATCGTCGTTTGAGGACCTTTTCCAATTTATAGATTAGGTCATTATTACAGAAGGGAAAATTATCACATGTTCACTATTGACTCTTAATTTGGAAGTGTTCCATTTCTTGGTTTACATTAGGTTCCTTTGCATCTGTTTTATATTCCCTGTGTTTGTTTGTTTCCTTGGTTACTTATTACTTTCTCACCTGTTTCCAGTTCGTGTTTTCCTTAGTTCTGTGTCTGTTCCCATTTTGACGTAGTGTGTTTGTAACAGCAGTTCACTTTAGTGTTTTCTCTGTGTGGATCACCTTCTGCTTCCTGTGTTTTTCCCATTTACTGAAATGTTTTCATCTAGTTTTGTTTAAATGCATGTTCTCATACTCCTTATGAGCAGTCGCTACAGAAGAACGACCAACCAATGGATGTAGTGGCTGTTCTGCTAATCCGCCTCAAGCAGAACGATTGCTCTTCCTATATCAGTGAGTTTTTACATCTAGCTGATTTGGTGCACTTTGATGTTGATGCCCTCATTTCATTTTTGCCAGCACATTGTTGCTGCCCAAGGGATGGACCTCGAGGGATGCTTTCTCAAAACCTGGATCAGACTGATATGAAGCGTAGCGTTAGTTCTGGCAGGTCACGTTAGTCAAGTGCACATCAGCTGACTCTCAGCTGATCCCCATCAACCTATGGGAATACGACACCTATCTAAGCATTCATATATAAGCTCCCTCAGTAGTATCAGCAGTTTTCACATTGCTCAATAGCTAATTATCCTCCTCCATCCCCAGCTCCTCCTCTGTCAGTCAGGATTCAGCCTTCTGATTCACACTATTAACTGCAACGATTATATGTTCTGATTGCGATTAAACATTGCGATTAAGCAAAGTTTGGTAGTTCTGTATGTTGTTTCAGGGTTGGCATCATCTGAGGTCCTCTGAGGGGTTGCATCATCTCTTCTCAGGTGTTCTGGATCCAGACTGAAGCTTGTGTAAATCCTAGTTACCACGGGATGTCAATCCCAGCAGAAACAGAGAAACACATAGAGACATAATTAGTGTAGCTGCGGTTCCAACCAAGCAAA